AACTCGTTAAAACGCAGTGAAATATACTTGTTTTTCGGAGCCTCAATTCTCCATATGCATTCTGACATCGTGGGAAAGTTGTATGGATAGTTTTGGGATAGTATGTTACCACTTTCGTCGTTATAGTCGCCACCACATTCTGAATAAAAGATAAAGTACTCTCTATCTTATTAATCTTATTTGAACTTAATTTTACATTACGGACATGGTGGCATTATGGACAATATTGTCCGCATCTTTTGTTTTCCGCGTAATAGAAGTACCAGAATAGTTCTTACCAGTTGTCAAAGAACTTGTGTACCTRGCGAGGAACCCGCGACCACGCCCTTCTGCATTCGTAACAAACTTGAGTCKTAGCCGGTTGGTCTTCGAGAAGAGGGGGTTTATACCCTGGCACACACTGAAATATGCAGAGAAAATAAATTAATGTAGTAAATGAAATGTAAAAAGTGCTGAATGATTGTATTAGAGTACAAGCACTAGCGTGCAACTCTTTGCACTATTTACTACAAAATAGTGCTAAGTAAACAATTGAAAACAATAGAGTGATCGCACTTAAAGCGTGCAACTGTACAAAATCAAAGTAGTATTAATTTGTACTAAAAGTGGACCTGAAGCAAGACGGTATTGAATGCTTCATTTGTATCAATTCAATTTTATTTGCGAAACGCATGCACGATTTACTAAATACAACTAAATAGAACTATTTAGTTTGTACAGTTGCACGGATTAAGTGCGATCACTCTAGAATTATTATTAGATTTAGAAGTATTTAGTGGTATTTATGTTGCACAGTTTTAGTGTTTGTACTCTATGAGTTTCACTTGCCAATTATTGTTATTATATAATTTCTTAATCACAGATATATCAAGGAGAAAAACTTTTTTTTGGCTCGTGAAAGAAGCATTTCTGATGTAACTTAACCCGTCTAACGTTTTTCATACATCGTCTTGAGAAAAAATTCATTGAAAGTTGACAGCATTTTTACCTTCCTAAGAATGTCTCGTTGTTTGGTTGTCCATCCCAMACATCGACCCTATCAATACACCTCATGGTGTTCATCTCGATATTGATGTCTTCAAACCATAATTTGATAAATATCCCTTCCTTTAARGTAATTGTCCATTCACACTCGATACTACTGGGGTAGGCTGAGGCAGAACCATAGCGTGGTGACGTAATAACTCCTTTGCTTGATGTCAGAGCACCACCGCAACCTGAATGAAAGCCAAATATTTGGTCAGAGAAAAGTATGATTTTGATTATACGATATGTTATCACTAGAAAAAACCGCGCGCTTTAAACGTTGTAAATTTGATGTAAATATGATATAAGTGTCCAAAATTCTGTAAATTTGATGTAAATGATTCCCATTAAATTTACAGAAATTTGGACACTTACATCATGTTTACATCAAATTTACAACTTTTAAAGAGCGCGATTTTTTCAAGTGTATGCTTCTCTTTGAGCCCTGATTTTTCAAGTTTCCTTTTATTTGATTATATTATAAACTATAAACTTTAAAGGGATGATTTAATCACGCCCTGCAGGAGCCCATTACTAGTCCTAGTAATGGGCTCCTGCACCCTGTGATATTGTTCCAGTTTTATTTAATGTCGGCWTTTTTTACCTGTTTCAGGGAAGCTTGAGTATTGTGCATGGAAGCCTTTACGTCTGTCTGCTGCATCAGAGTAAAACCACACCCTAATGTGGTTACCGCTGGAGTACAGAGGGAAGAGAGGGGGRCTGATACCACTGCAGAATGTTCCTAAATGATTATGAATTGAAGTTATTGTGTGGTTTCATTGTCATCCGAATCATCATCGTCATCACCATCATCACAATAATCATCATCATCATCATTATTATTATCATTATCACCGGCGCCACCATCACCACTTCCGGTATCATCATCACCATAATCATCATCATAATCATCATTAACATCATTACCAATTAGCTCTGAATTCGGAGAGTCGCCATCTTTAACCTCCACTAAATCAATACAAGAATGACCAGGGTAGAATTCAACGTCGAAGAATGTAAAGTTCAACTTGATATATCGCCCTTCATCGACGGTTATCAGCCATACGCAATCTTGGTNCGGTACCAGCAGGTTGTGGACCGTATAGTGTACGGACAGCTTTGTAGAACTCCTTGGCGTTATGAGTGTCAGCAAAACCTTGAATCTCTGCAGTCTTCTGTATCATCCATTTGTCCTTCATGAGCCTCAGCTTGACCTGTGCAGCGTGTTTGGCTTTGTGAAGAGCGTCTAAGTTGGCTTGGCTGTTGTGACCTAGGTAGACCTTAAGAAGTCTGTTCTTCTCATCTATGAGTCTGTTTATTTCCTCGTTGTTTTCATCGAACCAGTCTTGGTGGCAGTGCGTTTTTGGACCGAGGATGTTGTTACACGTGGATTGGATAGTGTCTTTGAAGAGTGCCCAGTCTTGTTCGATGTCCTCTGTGTTGAAGGCAAGTGTGTCAAGCTTCTCTTCCAGTTCCTTGGTGACTCGCTCTTTGACGTCTTTGTTTCCAAGCTTTTGGACGTCCAAGCGTTTTKCAGGTTTCTTGCYCTGTGGTCGCCTTGGGGGATGTATGTAGAACTTGACCTTGCACAGGATGAGACGATGGTCGGTCCAGCAGTCCGCACCGCACATGGATTTCGTCACAAGCACATCGTGAAGGTCGCATCTTCTGACTATAGCGTAGTCTATGAGGTGCCAGTGTTTTGAGCGTGGGTGCATCCATGTTGTCTTGTTTCTCGTTGGGAGCTGGAACATTGTGTTTGTGAGGAGAAGGCCATGTCTTGCACAAAGTGTGAGAAGAAGTAGCCCATTGCTGTTGCACTTCCCGACGCCATGCTTACCAATGACTTCGCCCCAAGATTGGACATCTGATCCCACACGAGCATTGAAATCCCCAAGGATGACAAGTTTGTCTTGCTGTTTGGTAGCAGAAATAATNTCATTATCACCGGCGCCACCATCACCACTTCCGGTATCATCATCACCATAATCATCATCATAATCATCATTAACATCATTACCAATTAGCTCTGAATTCGGAGAGTCGCCATCTTTAACCTCCACTAAATCAATACAAGAATGACCAGGGTAGAATTCAACGTCGAAGAATGTAAAGTTCAAYTTGATATATCGCCCTTYATCGACGGTTATCAGCCATACGCAATCTTGGTTGTCAGGRTAGTTTCCAGGGTAACCTGGACTGCTAATGGACCCACTGTTCCCTGTAATAGCATGCTCGCATGCTGAAATGGAATCATCTTAAATCATTAATCATGAATGTCTTTAAGTCATCAATGAAAGCGCCCTTTCAAAAACACCGCAGGCGCGCACATGAAAACGAGGTATTTTCGGCCGCCCTTCAAAWMATAGTGACAGAAAATMCTTCCTCTTCATGCCTCCTCTTAGCTTGCCATATTTCTGAAAGCCCCAGCGGATCTCGGAAATCGTCGATTACGATAGGTTGAAGACACGATGTGATTTGAGACCCCTATTTGGACAACGCGGTGCGTTTCAAACRACAAACGAGAAGATTTCATATCATTTCACCCTTGAATCAGACATGTCACACATGCCAAATGAATCATCAGAGCTTAAATAATTCAGCATTTTAAAGGAAGAATATCAAGATATATGAACGAATTTCAGTTATCCCGATAAAGGAATTAGATTCTATCGACCTTAATCCCATCTACGTCATTCAAACTAATGGCATTGAGATTTGTCCTCTTGAAACCTTTACAGCCAGAGTCATTATACCTGCCGAATTACTTCTAAATTTAGATTTCAATATTCTTATTTCAATTCAATTMAACTTTCATTTATTTCTCTTGAAGTTTTTGCTATAACACCCGAGGCGAATATTCTTAGTCTTATGGTAGTGATATTGGATTTTGATGTTTTCAGCTTATACAGTAAAAGTGCTTCGTCTATTATTTATGGTCGTCTTTAAAGAGAAGTATGATATATCTAATTTGATGGAAACGTCTCCCTAAATTATAACACCGAGTCTTTGACAAATATTTAAGCACTATTAACCATTTTAGGCCGCGTCTACACCGATGCGTTTTCTTGGTGTTTTATAAGGTTTTTCTATCTTGATCACGGAGAAAACGGTACAAAAGGGAAGAAAAACGAACCAATGCAGGCACGGAGAAAACGGTACAAAAGGGAAGAAAAACGAACCAATGCAGGAGGTCGAGGCCTTGAAGTGGGTTCTCTAAGCCCGTGAAAATAAATGAACAAAAGTATAATGACTTTTAATATAACAGTTTATAATAATATATATCATAATATATGATCGATAATGATGATSATRATGACAGTTATAAAGGACTTTTAAAAATGAAATATTAGCGCAAAAACCCATTTTGAAATGTTAGGATACCAGGCTGTCCTTGCTCTTGGCTTTAATCTATAYCAACCGTTATATTTAGAAACATTAATTATAAAATGCCAGAAGCCAAACGTTCCAGCAAGTTTCGGAGAAAACAACGTTTGTTTTATTTTCGCAGATTGATGAGTGAATATTGATCTTTTAATGTAAATTATACAAATCACTTTTTTATGSCCCAACCGTACGTTTAAATGTTTGAAATTAACCATCAAAGAAGTATTAATTGTTTCAGTATTTCAAAGTATTGTTCATAACCATCCACGTGTTGAAAAAGACTTCTTTGTTTGATCCTTTGTTCAGATTGTTTATGTCCTTCATCTTCKCTTAATGCTTCTCATTATGGCCTATTAATTCTTAGTTATCTTAACGAGTGTTTCACTCCTTAAAACAGTAAAACTTAGACTCCTAAAACCTCTTAAAACGACTCAAAAAAACACTCCAATCAGTGCTGTTATCTGCTAAAGTTCTAGCTTGAAGGTATATTGTGGCGTTTTTAAAAACCTTTTTGTCTSTTCGCCAATAATGAGTGGAGTTAACGAAGTACCAGCATGCATGCCCAATATACAAGGGATTGTCGACTGTTCAAGATAAGTTTTRTAGGCTAAAGGCAAATACTTTGTAGATRAAAAGCGTAGTTTTCACTACACTGATGAATTGTTCCCAAAAAGTTGATTATTTGGACAGATTTGCGAGTACAAAAAACAACAACTGAACMTTTTATTTTGTAAACATCTCTATTAAGAATCAATATTTTGTGAGATTGTATTTACTGATTCGAGATGTTTGTTAAAAATAAACCAGGTTTTAATTAATTCCTTTTCTCTACAATTCATTAGTAGAGGTTTTTGACTAAATGAGTCGACTTTCAATCGTGGGTGTGAGTCGGATTGGCAACTTCAAATATCAACGCTAGCTCTATAAGGTTCTGTTTGGATACTAATAARTCCAAAATCCAGCTAAGAATATTACAAAGCGGTTAAAAATTATCAACGAAATGAAAATGAAGATATTAAAATGAAATTTTAAAATCAGCATGTCTGAGTGTCATCATGACATGACGTTTGCATTTTCCATCTTATTTTCKACTTACTTCGGGATGCGTCCACTTGATAAACTCCAAGAGCAAGACACCAAACAGCAAAGATTCCTTCTCGCTTCATTTGCTAGTCTTCAAGGAACTATCCAAGCATAATTTTCTTATTTCAAGCCACTTTTCTCCTAAAGTCAGATTGTCTGCTTTTGAAGTTCCTCTACAAGCTCTTAAGAAGAGTTYTCCTTTTGTTCCAGACGAGAATTAGGTTGTGTTTTTTTTGACGTTAGCTTGGATGTGGTGTTCCGGGCGGAAGATTACATAGAAATAATGCCAGTGTGTGGGAGATTAGTTATTGAGACCCATCAAWGGGATATTAGCAAGTTGTCATGTGGGCAAGGCAATTGTTGTACGGACAGCAAGCCGTGCGTCATTGTTCTGTCTGTGACACTGATGGGTAACGCGGCCGTATAGCGTACCTAACAGTGTCATGTGTTTCTTACCAGAAGTGGTTGTTTTGACTAAATGAAWTCCTTTCTTATTCCTCTTAAGTGTGTATTAACGAGCTGATTTCCTATCTTATCTAATAATGAGCCCCAAAGGCCTCAGTCATACCGAGATATCAATAAAAAAAACTACAGTGTAAATTGTTAGAAAAAAAGAATTAAAGCGCCAGTTTTCTTGCTTCGCTACCTACATCGGATAAATCAAATCATGCAAGAATTCAAAAAAATCAAAAATGTGTATAAATTGATTAAACCATTGACGCAAGTCGACGCAGTTAAAATGCAGTAAGAGGCTCTAACAGATACCTCTGGATAGTGGTCACATTTCTTCTGCGGGCCATTCTCATACTCCTTTAAATTAAATCTCCATGCTATCGTTAGAAAAACAGCTCTATAATTCAAACGCCTTTATATTACGAACACTTAATTCTCTGTGACCTTTCGTTAACTCTTGAAGTTTCTACCAACTTATTTACATGTATGTATATTTTTAGTACAAAAATGTACATTGAGTCTAAGTAACAATATGACTCTGCAGTGGCAGTCGTGCGCATTGTTGCAAGGTCCATGCCGGAGAAACGAAATCTAAATTATATGGCGTCTTTAACAACTCAAAAGTTTGTATCCTAAAGCTATCGTACGAAAGAAAAGCGTAATAAACACTTCTATATTAACTCAGAAAAATAGATTAGGAAATGTTCAGTAATGTTYTATTTTTAGTGAAACCTTTAAATCTTTCTTACAAAGTCCGACTGGTCTACACTAACATATGTTTCATGTTTTGTTTCGCATATTTTGGCGCCTTATTCGTTATTGTACACTTTTACACACACGTGTCGCCCATTGTGTCCTTTGTTGATCACGTGTTTGGCACGTGTTATATAGATTCGATTGTTCTTTAAAGAGATTTAAGCTGGTATATAGTTCATTGTAAACTACTGAGATTTAATTGATGTGAATTGTCGTGAAATCCACTTTACCCTTCTTGCACTATGACGTCAGAGCATGTTTAAAGAGGTTGACAAGATATAAACAGAGGAGAGCACTTTCCCTCCTTTTGCAGCCCAAAACTGACTCTAAAAGAGTTATAAATGGTTTGATTGCTTTTGAAGTCTTTTAAGACTTAAAAGAATTCCTTTCTGAGATATTCACAGCAAGCAGACATTGTTTTTATCATTACCTGATAAGATACTCCATGTAGGACTGTTAGCAGGTCTTGTGTTACATGTAATAGAGCTTTATTTATCTGATTTATCAATAGCAGTTATTATTTAATCAGAATATGAAYTGTTTTGGGACAATCAAACACTCTGTCAATCTATTTACACTCTTTCTGAACCATGAACAGTGTTTGATAAGAAAAATTGTGACCTTTAAAAMTAWWATRCGACATTCATCTTTAAAACTRACTTTGCACACTCGMCTCTTGTTTGCCATATCAAGAGCAAAATTAACAACAGAGTCTGGTGTAAACARCTTAATAYGTGTCAGTAATGATAGWCCATCCGTAAATGCTTTTGCCATGGAACAGTAGTGCATTGGAGGTGTGACAAGTTTTGGGTAGACAATTTCATTTTCAATTTGTTTACATATTTCATAAGCATCTTCTATTCCATTATTACAWATGTTATTGTTAYTTTGGATTCCTAAAARGTATCCRATCCATTTCCAGAAGTAAACAAAATCTTGAAGGTGAGTTTTTGCATTGTGAAGTCCAAGTTCTTTGGGATACATGACAATTAAACCAATAAACCCTGACTGCACAAGACTCATGTCAAATTGTGTAAAATATCTACTTTTGTCATGCTCTTTCATGTTGTCTCTGCTACATATATGCATCTTATAAACCTTTTTTATTGATCTTCTAGCCGATGACCTTGGATCCCAAATATTCCCATAATGCCACAGTGCAACATGGCGAATYGTGCTCAAGTATCGACGAAGAGCTTTTTCTGGTGTATTAGATTGATTGGTGAAAACCAAAGGTTGTAAGAGGTTCTCTACACTTAGACCTACCACTAATGAGCAAAGCATCGCTATCACACAGGTGAAAASATTATTCCTGAAGAACTGGCGGCCATTATTGAATCTGTCAATGTCTAGATCTTCTGGTAGATCTTGTAAATCTTGAAAAACTTCAAGTTCTTCTGAATTACCATTGYGTAACTGCTCAAGACGGTTTATAGCCATTTCATATTTCTAGAAACAATATATGAAAATGTAGTAAGCTTTGCAGCATATTAAGTCGAAAGGGTCGTCGTCAATCAAATTGTAGAGTCGACGCACTTGCACCGTAAACATAGTCTAATCAAAGAAGTAGTAACTATTTCTACATTCTTACATTTCAAGTAAAACAAATCATTAAAATAGCATAAAAACTACATATTATAAACGGGTTTTGGTTCAAAACGTACATAAAAATAACAAAGAAAAGGCCTCGTCTGATTTTTCAGCCATCTTGAAAGTTGTCGATCCCAGTCTCTCTTGAAAAGTCTAGCACAGGTTTTTTAAGCTGATTGAATAATGGACTGGTGGACTGATGGATTGATGAACTGATGGATCTATGGAACGATAGAATATTGGAATGATAGATTTATGGAGTGTTGGATCTATGGAATGATGGATGTATGGAATGATGGACTGATGGAATACTGGACTGATGGAATAATGGATTGATGAAATACTGGACTAATGGAATGCTGGATTTATGGAATGGTGGATGAAATGTAAAACTTTATTCTCCCACAGTGGTTATATCAAATATTTACAATATATCAAACTTTGGTCTTCCTATAAGCCTTGCAATATATAACATTATTAACAACCAACTCTTTGTAAATTAGATGATGTTAAACTTTAATGTTTTTATATTTAATTCTCTTGTACGGCCTCTAGGGAGACCAAATAAAAAGTTGATAGAGCTACCGTGTTTATGTAAAGTTGAGGAATTGGGATTTAGTATTTTTGTACAAGAAAATGATATTGATATTGAAAACGATTTTGGATAAGTATGTACTTCTGCTGTTGTATAGATATAGGGATGCTGAACTTGGTGCCGATAATGTCGATTATAGTGCGGTGATTATAAGACGCTGATTMSTCTCATYAGGAAAATTCAAGTAGTTTCCAGTTTTTCTACAAAAGGCAACACTAAACAAYTGTTTCTTTTTCTAACGTCTCTTCTGTTGTCATTCCGGTTTTCAAATTAGATTGACTCGGTAAAGTCTTTGTTTTAAATCTTGAATTATACCACTTACTATTCCAAGCGCTTTGACGGTCATTTCKATATTTTCTATTATTGATGCACTGTTTRAAGACGCCTTTACAAGCTTCCATRAAATCCCGTTTGAAGAACGTATAGAGTAGTGGATTGATGATGCAAGTGCAGTATCTTATAACTACAAACATTGTTAGCACCTCTTCTGGAATATCYCCAATGATAAGCTTCTCCGTCCAMGAAGGAACCGCAAACTTTGCTGTAAGTAAGAGCATAAGAATAAACCAAGGCATCCAACAGATCAGAAAAAGCAGCGCCATTGTGACAAAGATGTAGATGCACTTCTTGTCGTTTGTAATCGTGGTTTTACTCTGACGTCGCGTCGTTTGTGAACGAATTAGACTCATTTCGCTAGTTCTTTTGATAATAGTTTTTATCATGATTGTTTGACAATAGACAATGAAGATATAAGGCAACAAAAATACAGTTACAAAGCTAAATATATCATGCCCCATGTTGTATATATCTCTCTGTTTGCTTTTCCTCCAAGCCAACGTTATCAATGCATTGAAAGACGAAGCAAGCCAGACGACTCCGAGCCAATAAAAAGCTTTTTTAGGGTTTGAGCTATGGTGTCTTAAGGGCTGGACRATGGCCAGGTACTTCTCACCAGTAATGATCAAGATATGATATGCTGTTGAAGCTGTAGTAAGCTTACTTATTGTTATATACCCTGTAAGAAAACCAAATTTTCGTGTCTGCTCGAAGRCTAGAAATAAAGGAATTCCCAGAATTCCGCTCAATAAGTCTGAGATTGCTAGGCTGAATAGTAAGTAGTTGGACGGACTTCGGAGTCTTTTTCTTGTKCCAAAAATAAACATCACAAAACAGTTGACAATGATAATAAGTGCGGCCATTGGAACCAAAGTAGGTAGATTTGATTCAAACCCTTGAGTGTTTGGTATTGTRTTAGAAATGTTTCCCTTAATCGACTTGTTAAAATCTCCAGATGATACCATTGTGCYTRGTAATTGAAAGATTTACGCTCCGTACTGTCCAAAGTCCACGGTAGTACAGTGTTTACTCAACACAGCAAGCAATCTGCCGGTCCACGGTCCAGAAGGMTGAAAAGSTGTRGTCCGATCGAGATTCAGGTAACGCGTCCGGATTTTCGAATTCAGGATTCMCAAGTTTGATTTAAGGCCTCCTGTCATAAGAMGAACAAAGGGGGATATTAGATCTTGTCATTAATCATGACTTATTATTATTAAATAAAAYACTGCTATAGCATTGATTGGTCAAGGCATTTAAGGAGGAAAAGATTTGCGAAACATCACTATCTATGTATCTATCGTTTTATCATGACTTTCATTTATTTAAAACACTGACGCAATTAACACTCTGGTTTAATTGCTATTTCTAAAGCTTTTCCAGAATGTAGCAGTTATGTGGTCTTATGTGTTACGCAGCACTTAGCTGGCTTAATTTTTAAAACTTTGAAGCTTAAAATATTAAACAACTTAAGTGGATTAAATAGGTCCAAGGCAAATCATGTGTTGACACTTGCGGAGGAAGATCGGTAACAACCAGAAAACGTAGAAGACTCTGACCGCGTCCATGCATGTCCGGCCTAGTGAACGCCACAATTTTACAATGGAATTCACAAAGTAGCAAACTAGTCGTCAAAACACAACTAGATAGATTTGMAGAAAGCGAAAAAGAGTTCAACCATGTGATCAGTAGAAATAATTCTATTGGAAAATAAATTTGTATATCTCGAGTGCTATATGTTGTGCCATCAGCCAGGGACATGCCTTTGACAAGGTGTCTAAAACATCGGCCAAAACTAAACCATTTCCAGAACAGTCTCTTACCATAATCTTACCATAAAAGGACTGAATTGGCTGCAAATTAGGATCAAGAGGTTTCTACATTCTCAATGGGACCTAAACACTGTCTAACTGTAGCACATTATAAGCCGATCAAATTTGTAGTAAATGAATTAGAAGCAGAAGAAGTAGGAGAAGAACTAGAAAAACTTTGTAAAACAACAGAGCAATAAACAGCAAAGCATAACAGAGTCCATGCCACGGAGGCCACTAACATATTGATGAAGTAATGACGTGAAGAGCGCAGCTTGGATTTTGAAGGTATGGCTATAGCCCATGCATTAATAACCAGAGTCTTCACCAGAAAAAGCCACCACAGCGCGCACCTGCTCGAAGGCAAAAACCCGCACCGTAGTTTTTAATGATAACCCGTGCCAGTGATTGTTAGGGTTAGGTTAAACGTTTTGATTATACTCGTGTGAAAACGTCTATATAAGAATCAACATTGGAACACTTAAATCATTAAAGGTGCGAGGACTTTCCCCCGAATTTAATGCCCCAATACATGCAACAGCCAAATCCAGCTAAACTCTGCTCTTAAGATGGGAGATCGAGAGATTCTCGTAGAAAGCATTCTATTAGAAAGACGACCTGAAAAAAGACCGAGTCAMGAAACAAAAGCCAAAAACATGACCCATATATCTAATGCTTTTTCGAGTTTCAGGYTCTAGATTTTAATAAAACCAGCATTAAAAATTCCATTTTAAATGCTTAACAAAGGTRACTTCGTTAAAGAAATAAGTATAATAATACAAACCGACGAAAATGATGCAAGTTTTTCCCGATAGTTTGCAGAAAACTAATCATAGATAATTTTGTAGAAACGTTCCAAGTTCGACTTGCAGAATGTTCTTACCAACTTAATAATATACACAGATAACGATTTTAAGTAAGATAAATTTTCCTTTTTTTTCTAATAATATTTTTTCGGATTTTTCCAATTTATGCTATCATTGATCATGATTCTTTGATTTAAATCTATCTTTCTAAATTCTAAAACATTTTACCTTTTGAAGTCTGCAAGCTTTTTGAATTATTACATGTAAAACATCTAAATTCTGCGTTGTAGCTTTAAGATTGCTCTAGAACTAGTCGACGTCTCAGGTATCGAAGTTTAACTTCACGGCTATAGTACTTTTTATGAGGTATTCACTGGATGAGAAGTGATAATGAGACACGGGTAAGTATGATTGGTTGATCRGAGATCATTCCTCACCTACTCGTTACCGAAAATGCAGGTTATTATTGATRCGTCGGTGAGCCGTTTTGTCTGAAAATATAATAGGATAAGACGAAGATGAAACAAGGAAAATTACTTTTACAGTTGTATACATATTACTGATAGACGTATAATTCAATAGCAATATCAGACTMCTCACTTATATTACAAATACTTTGTAAAAGACAAGGTTTAAGTAATCTCCTTTAATCGTTTTTCTGATTTGAAAGTTTCTTAATCAATCTAATTGATTTGCGTTTTTAAAAACATCAAAAATCTCCCTGGCAACAAAAAGCGACAATACTGAAACCGGCCCTTGTATACAAAGTATTAAAAACCATGGAAGTTTKTACACCATTAATATATTAGACTGAAGAGATTTTTCGTCGACCGTGCAAAAGGAAATGGYTATCTAGTTGTTATAAGCTAAAAAAAGCCAATGGTCTGAAGTTTAACTATTAATAGAATTACTATGGGCGATACAAATGCTCTTGATAAGAACCTAAAGAAGAGAAAGATTTACTGCTACAGCTATTTCTTGGTCTCTAGGTTAAAGCGAACGATAGGCCTGCTCGAGTATATAAATTTTAAAATACACAGCGTTCTATAACTTAGAAGTGTCATGATCGATTTCAAGAGTACGCTAGTCTAGAAAAACAAAATTTTATGAAAAGGGTAACTCGTTAGCATCTGAGCTATGGCAACTGCAATATCGGCCCATAACGACGTATTGATTTTCTATGATTCTAAAGATTGTAAAGAGTCAGAAAGGCTAGATATATATGTCGGTATAGAGTATGACCTTAAACCATTAACAAAATAAACAAATATTAGGTAAGACACGCCCAATTTTCAAAATGATAAAAGTGCATTTCCCAAATTTTATCAACTTGGTGACAAAGAGTTAGTGTCTTTAATTGTTTAGTATTATAAATGTCTTAACTTCTTGTTAAACTGATAAAACATCTAATATCAGAGCTATCGTTCTTTGCTATTGCGGTTTTTAAGTTTTTGTGACGAAAGGCCTTATGGGGCCTCTCGTCACTATGTCATCGTATTGTGTGACCGAACCGTAACGATTCACTTGTAGCAGGCGTTCCTTGCGAGTCCTTGATATGTTTAAGTTGAAAAGAGAAAATCTCTAGAAAAAAAACACAAACAAAGTAGCAACAGCAAAGAAAAGAAGAAAAGAAAAAAAAGAAAAGAAAAAAAGAAGAAAAGAAAACAAAAAACAAATGAAAAAGAAACAATAAACAAGAGAAAAAAAAAAGAAATTTCAGAAGCAGGGCTCGAACTCAGAGCTTTCAGTTCAGGAGAAGATGTACCCCCCCCTAAATACATAAGAAATTATGAAAATAAAAAACTAAAAAGATGGGACGATTCCCCGGGCATACATAAGAAATAATGAAAATAAAAAACTAAAAAGATGGGACGATTCCCCCGAGACATTCTGTGAAGCTGAGGCGTCGAATCGGCTTACGTTACGGTTAGAGATTTCGGCTCTTCCACGCTATCCCGAGTGAACATAAAACTTAGTCTTAACCAAAAGGCCAGGGAGTGAGGGGGTAGCCGCCCACTAGAGCATACCTTTAGCTACCCTCTTAGACCATCGTACTATGAAGACACTTATAGATATCTAATATCTAATCGGGGTAGTCTATTCGGCGAAGTTCTATGCTAATATATGACGTCACCAAAATCCTTAGGGAGCAGCGAGCCAATCAAAGCTCATTTCAGGAATTAGCAAAGAATACAGGCTTTGCATAATCATTCTTCAGTAGATTTATTATTTGATGGGGGGAAGGGTGAATTTATTATTTGATGGGGGTGGGGGGGGGGGGGGGGAGAATGTGCTGGTTTGCGGCGAATACTGATGTCCGATGTAATATGACGGCTTTCACCAAGCTGTTGTTCAATTGTCGTTGTTGTGTTCCAAATCATCACAGGAAAATTTGGTGTACAGTTCTCATAGAAATCACGAGTATTCGGATAAACACAACGGCACAAATCCTTGAAATTTTTCAATTTTTCATTTACCAAACCAGGCAGATATTTGCTGGGATTCAGCGGAACACTATTGAAGACCTCTAGAACGTTCCACATTTTCGTTCTTGATGATATAAAAGTTTACACATTATTGAATATAAATAAAGCGAATGTTAACNAGTACTGATGTCCGATGTAATATGACGGCTTTCACCAAGCTGTTCAATCGTCGCTATTGTGTTCCAAATCATCACAGGAAAATTAGGTGTACAGTTCTCACAGAAATCACGAGTATTCGGATAAATTAACACAACGGCACAAATCCTTGAAATTTTTCAATTTTTCATTTACCAAACCAGGCAGATATTTGCTGGGATTCAACGGAACACTATTGAAGACCTCTAGAACGTTCCACATTTTCGTTCTTGATGATATAAAAGTTTACACATTATTGAATATAAATATAGTGAATGTTAACAATTGAAGAGGATGAAATACTATAATCAGGCGAATGATAGTAATTTTAAAACATGGATGTAAAAATAAAAACATAATAAAAGCATTTTATCGAGTAAAACGTTCGAGAATTAAGCATGAGTTTATATAAGTCAACAGTTACAGAAACTTGAGATATCTTTGATTACAGCTAAATTAAAGCTCTAAGGACCGCTCCATGTCGTGGATAAAAATCCATTTTCCGAATCTTTGAGATGGATATGTTTACTGCAGGCAGGTAAACATGGGAGGAATGATCAACCATTACAATAGGTTCCTTGGCCCCTGGGACTCGCCGCCTGTTGTGTATTCATAGGCAACGTAATGGTTGATCGCCACGTGATGCTTCCAGTTCCTTGCAGGGTATGCACCCTTTTAATAAGTCCCGAGGTTTTACGTTCTACCCACTTGACGTCAAATTTATTCTTTT